AGCTCTGCGATCTTTTCATACAACACATCCCCCCCAAACCCTCAACTCTCCGATGTTGCAATCTGAGACCGAAGGAAGCAGCTAAGCAATACTAAATCCACCTAGTGAACTGGCTCGCAGAGCTTGGGCCACAGGAAGTACAGTCCCCCTCTGTGTTTTAAACCACTGGTCACCCCCAATTCCAGGTCAGAAGCAAACAGTGTGGAACAGGAAGGACACCAGCCCTGGAGTGAACAGTGTTTCCTAGACCCAAGATTCCTTCCCATGCCTTCAGTCTAGGTGAGGTGCCAAGTCCAATACAGGATTCTCAAATCTTAAAAAGGGGATAAAGAAAAGAAACTCAAGATGCCTTAACTACAGGTGTTTAGTGAATTTAGTGAATTAGGTTCCTACTCCACTAATCCCATAGATCACGTAGGAGTGTGTATGTACACATATAAATGTGCATATATTTTATATGAGTATGTATATACATACACACACATGCACATACACAGAGACATATATATACATATGCTGATATAACTTCGTCTACTCACACCATTCCCTCACTGGATACTTCAAGATCAAAAACCAAAAGGAACAAGGATTGCACAGCATACAATTTCTTTTTCTCCCCACCAACTTTTGCCTTTGACCAAGTCCCTTCCTGTCCCCAAATCTCCAAATTCTACTTCCCCTTTTATCTTCAAGACAGGGTCAAATGGAACCATTCTCACTGGTCTGCAAGCTTGTATTAAGAATGTTGAGGGGCAGCTAGGTAGTGAAGTGGATAGAGCACTGGCCCTGAAGTCAGGAGGACCTGAGTTCAAATCCGTCCTCAGATCAAACACTTGACACACTAGCTGTGTGACCCTGGGCAAGTCACTTAACCCCAACTGCCTAATAATAAGAATAATTTTGGGATGCTGAGGACTCAGCCAAGATCACCTAAAGCCAATCTACTTCCAAACACTATACCAACTTACTCTCAGGAAAGCCCAAATCCTATTGCAGTTGCTGACCTTCCTGACTCTAGGTTCCTCTCCTTTCCAACTTAACCTTCCTACTCTTACCTCACCCCATGTCTCAGCCAGGTGTAGCCTTTGGGAGCTGACACAGAGCCTGGGACTGGAGCTAAGGGCAATGCAAGCTGGAATCTGGCCCTGGTGAGTTTTGAGTTGGGTTGGACTACCCCATATAGCTCATTCCCTTCAAGGGCTCATCTACTCATATGGTTTAAATGCCACTCAAAAAACCAACATCTGCAATTCTGTCCTCTCACCAGGCTGACATCTCCCAGTGCCTAATAAACATTTCTCTCCATATAGATGCTTTGCCAAACAGCTGAAACTTCTAAAATTAAAGTCAACCATGCCTCCCCCAAACAGACATGTCTTTCTAATTTCCCCATTACCACCAAAAGTAACTCCACCTTCCTAGTCTCAAGTTTGAAACCAATTTCTACTCATTTGTTCTTTACTCTGCCCCCGACATTGTTACCATTTTCTCTTGCCATTAATGTCTCAAATTCACCCTTTATTTTCCATTTCTACAATCTTCGCCCTAGTCCAAGGCTTCGTTATCTTATATCCAGAATATTACAAAAACCTCCATCTTTCTTGGTTGCTTCCAAGATCTTGCTGCTTTAATTGGTCCTAAAAGCAATACAAGAACCAAGGATTTTTCCAGTGCAGGAAGATCCTCTGTCAAGGCATATGGTAACCCCTTTTTGCCCTCATGGATACTTCACGACTTGTTACAAATTTTAAAAATTACATCCTCCTGTTGTCAACTGGTATTGAGCCTCCCCAAACAAGGAGGGTCTTTGGGTGACAGGCATACAGTCTGTCAATATGCAGTACTTTCCAGCTTAGTAGGACCACCCAGAACTTAAATTACACCCCTGGTAAAGCTTTCAAGAACCCAGGGTCATCTCCCGGCCACAACGAGGAATCTGAGGTCTTCCGCGCAATGTCCTAAAAACAATTCCTATTTTAAAAAAAAGTTCTTTACATGAGCCAGAACTCAAAAGCTAGGACAAGAGTCAGGAAGATGTAAGTTCAAACCCAGCTTCGGACACTTCCTGTGTGACCCTGGGCAAGTCATTTAACTTGTCTGCCTCAGTTTCTTCATATGTAAAATGGGGATAATACTACTTCCCATTCTCCGGGGTTGTTGTGATAATCAAATGAGATAACATTTGTAAAGCATTCAGCATAATATCTGGCACATAGCAGATGCTATATAAATGCTTATTCCTCTTACACTTGGTCCCATATACTGCACAACCTTCAATGGCTCACTGTTACCTAGAGAGTTCAACATCTCAGTCTGGCATTCAAGGACCTTCTCAATCTAGTCTCAAAGTACTTCTTCAACAGATACCCTCTGATCCAGCCAAGGTGGTCTCTTCACCAATCACCCAAAGAAGCCATGTTTTATTTCTACCTGCACAAGACCCATCCACCCCAAGAACAACCTCCTCCCTACCCCTATTGAAATCTCACTTATCCTTAAGGACGCAGCTTAAGTCTCACCTCTTCAAGTCTCTTGTCCTCTTAACACATTCTATTTTGCATTACTTATTTAATTTATAGTTTTATTGATTTAGATCTGGAAAGGGCAAGATCACATACATAGGTGCTATATCAACTTACTCATCTATAAGTTACACGAAGGCTGGGAACTTGTCGTATTTATATTGGTATCTCCCACCAGTGCCTAGCATGTAGTATTCTGCATACAGTAGGTACCTATTTTTGCTGAATTCAAAAATTTGCTTAACTGTGGAAAACAGAGGCATTACTTGACAATTTTTCTTACCTATAATGATCAATCACTTCCTTTAACTGTTATTGCACGTATTTTGCCAGCATTGTTCTAGCATTTAATTATAGTGCCTTTTACTGCTAATTAACTGCTTCACTTATTGTCTCCTCAATAAGATTACAAGCTCCTCAAGTATTAGAACTATGCCTTAACACTTCTTTTGTACCTCTCATTGGTTAAATGAATGGACCTTCTACTCTTACTGTGATGCCTTTCCTAATCCCCTCCCCCAGTTGCTAGTGCTTCCCCACAATTACTTTTTATTTAATACTTTGTATTTTCTACACTCCTATATGTGTACCTGTCCTTCCCCCAAAAGAATGCAATTGCCCTGAATGCAAAGACTTTAATTTTTATTATCTTTGTGTCCTCCGAGCCTAATACTCACTGGGCACTGAGTCGGTGCTTAATAAATGCACGTTTAAGAAATGCTTGTTGATGAAACGGCAAATTTGTTTACCATCTCCTAGTCTGTGTACCTTTTGATCTCCCAGTTTGTGTATCTTTCAAAACTCACCTCCTCCTGGAATTCTTTCTTGCTAAAATCCACCCCTCTGTTTTTTTTTAAATTTCCTTAACAGTTATTTATGCATTCAGCACTTACAGTGTCTTGTAAATGAGACTATTCATAAAGCCTTTAGCCCAATGCCTGGCACATAGTAGGCCCTTAATAAATGCCCATTCCCTAGTCTCCCTCAACCAGAGTGTACACTCCTAGAGGTGGAGGTTTTTAATCCTTCTTTGGTATTCCCACAGGGCCCTGACACATAGTAGGCACTTTATACATACTGGAATTGAGTGGGCTTGTTCAGAACCTGAAGTTGTAAATTCCTTGACAACAGAAACCAGGCCTTCCATTTCCCCTACCCAGAACTCTGCCCAGAGTATGCTCTCAGGAGTGTCTATTTGCACAGCGTGCTTAATAAATGCTTTATCTATTCTGGACCTATAGATGACCGACTGAAGGAATGGACTTTTTGCTCTTTTCCAGAAAGTGGTGGGCAGCACCATAACCTCGGTGCCTTAGTGGTCTAGTATCATGGGAACGTGCCCGGCCTGCCTGGTCAAAACGCTCCCAGCCCATCTGGGAGTGGGGGGGGTTTGCTGGTATAAACTGCCTGCTCCTGCAGGGAAAACAGTGAGACTCGCACACACTCCTCACTCCCCCCACCCACCCTTCACCACGTTCAGAGCCAATCCCAAGGTGAAGGAGTTAAAAACCTCAAACTCTGAGTGTCTCCCCCCATAAGGGAGCGGAGGAGAATTCTGCGGTTCCAATCACGTTTCCACCGCACAAACTCCCTTCGCCCAGGCCCCCACCGGGCAGGCCAATATGCTCCAGAGAGTCGAGAGGCCGGGGAGGAAGAAGGAAACCGTGCACAACTGGAGGGGCCGCGGGGGGCCGGGGAGGGGACCCCGAGCACAGGGAGAGGGGGGCCGAGGAGAAGGGCGGGAGAAGAGGGTGGGACCGGCGGCGGGAGGCATCCAGAAGCCAGGCTCCGGAGGGTGGGTGGGTGGAGATTGAAAGCAGCGGGCGGGAGGAGCGAGTGCTGCGCCGGGGGCCGGAGGCAGCGGAGGCAAAAGGCGCCCTTGAACGCTAGCCGTCGGGGGTCGGGGGAGAAAAGGGGCGCAAAGTTGGGGAGGAGGAGGAAGAGGGGGTCGGGGAGCAGAGAGAGCTAAGCAGGCGGCGGACCAGCGGGCATGCACCCCCCCACCTCTCCGCCCGTCGGGGGCACTGCCGCATCGCCCCCCCCCTCCACCGCCAGCCGAGTCCGCCGGCCCGTGCCCCGGCTACGCCGGGCCCGCGGCAGCCCCGCGCCCCTCCCGGGGTCCTGCGGGCGTGGGAAGTTACCGCGCTGCTCGCCTCGCTCGTCCAGCGCCGCCGGCCGGGCCCCGCGCAGCCCGCCCGCCTTGGCTCCGTGCGCGCCCACCTGGCCAGCCTTTCGCCGGGACACAGCGCTCACGTACGCGGCCGCGGCCACAACCCGGCCCGGATTTCCCGCCCCGGGAAGGGAGCGGACGGGAGACACACCCCCAACCCACCCCTCTCCTCCCTCCCCCTGCCCGCTCCCCACCCCTCCCTCCTCCTCCTCCCTCCTCCTCCTCCCTCTCCTCCCCTCCTCCTCCTCCTCCTCCTCCTCCCCGCCCCGCGCGAGTAAGACCCACGCCTCCTCCCTCCGGACACGCACGCACGCTGTTGGTGGCTCGTCCACACCTCCCCTCGGAGCAGCTCAGGGCTCCGGCCCCCGGGTACACAGCGGGCGCTCAATAAGTGCTGGCTCTCCCGGCTCTTCCTGCACATGCGCTGCACGCTCGGCTCCGGCCCCCTCTCCTCCCCTCCCTCCCTTCTGCTGAAACATAAGCCCAAACCTGCCCGCACTGGAAGCCAACACTCGGAAGGAGGCGTGTTGCTCTGCCGAACCCCCTAACTGAAGCAAAGTGTCGGGTTGTTGTTTTTTGGCTGAATCACAAACCCGACCAAAGTTGGTTGTCTAGTTTTGTGTTTAAAAAAGAAAAGAAAAGAATAATAATGGTCGTGCTTAGGCGTTTCCTTCCCCGAGTATGGGCCGAGGCTCGGAGCCAGGACGAAAGCCAGAAACTCTGTGTCTCGGATGGGAGAGGGGCCCAGGCCACCGGGCTGGACCTGGGCTGGTGGCCAGCTGTGGGGGGAGGGGTGATCTGGGGAGGCGGGGGTGGCTGGAAGGCTAACCAGCCTCTTTCTTTCCTCTCTCCTTCTCTCTCCCTAGCAGAATCAGGCCGGACTGACTCGTTTGCACTTTCCAGGGAGGTTCCTTAGTGTTCCTAGAACCGATAAGGGAGGGGAAAGGGAGCACTTTCATAACGCAGTATTGGCTCCTCTTGCCACCATCGGGGGGGGGGGGAACGAAACGTGTGATGGTGGGGACGTTTGTGACCTAGCGAGAATTGATGACGCTAGGAGAAGTAACTGTTCGATCCTCCGTTTGGTAGAGAACAGACCAGACCCAACAGAGTTGGGGTTCCCTGGGTGCCCAGGTGAATACTTAAATGAAAACAAGTCATTCACTACAATTAACAGAATAATTACCACCACCACCCTTTAAGAAACAAAATTCTGGAACATTCTTTATACATAAACCATTTAGTTCATGTTATTTTTCTTGCCTTTTTTTTTTTAAGTAACATACTGGCTGTGTTTGCTATGGGCAAATCACTTAGCCTTTTCTCAGTGCCCGACAAAACTATGGAAGACTAAACCGCAGATGAGCCGACTCTCTATTAGGGGCGTGAATTTCCATATCAGGGCTTCCCAAGTGGTAGTCACAGGTCCAGGCCAAAAAGAAAAAGGAAAAACATGGATAGAACCTAAACTCCTAAGGAGCATTTCTTATCATTCAGCCAATTACTAGTTAGCTGGTCAGGTATGGGGGGTTTTTTTCCCCCGTCACCAAGGAGTCGGTGAAAACTTAAAGATATCTTCCTGAATAAACAAATGCTTACCGTGTTATATAATTCATCTTATATTAATTTAGAAATATTTCCATTACTTGACCAAAATATAGAGTTGAGAGGCGGCTTTAGTGGACATAGCCTTGGAGTAAGGAATTTGTTTAGTCTTGTCCCTGGACCATATCCCACCAATATTGTCCACAGGGTTTTCCTGGCAAAGATACTGGAATGGTTTGCCATTTCCTTCTCCAGTGGATTAAGGCAAACAGAGGTTAAGTGACTTGCCCAGGGTTGCGTAGCTAGTAAGGTCACATCTGAACTCAGGTCTTTCCGACTCCACACCCAGTATTCTATCCACTGAGTCACCTAGCTCCTTCATCAGTCAGGAATAACTAATTCAAATCTTCCGTCTGGCACATACTAGATGGAGGACCATGGACAAATCACTTAACCTCTCAGTTGTTCGGTCATTTCAGTCATGTCTGATTCTTCATGACCTCATTTGGTGTTTTCTTGGCAAAGATAATGGTTTGCCATTTCCTTCTCCAGCACATTTTACAGATGAGGAAACTGAGGCAAACAGGGTTAAGTGACTTGCCCAAGGTCACACAGCTAGTAAGTGTCTGAGGCCAGATTTGAACTCAGGAAAATGAGTCTTCTTGATTCGATGCCCAGAGCTCTATGCCATGTGCCCCCAGACAACTTTCTAAGACTAAATTAGAGAAATTGCTACTCTGAATCAGGGAATTCTAGTCTACACCAATTAAATAACAGTTCCAAACTGCATACACCTCCTTTATATCCCCCTCCCCCAATAGAACTGAAATTTTTATTATTTAGCATTCAAATATTAGTTTATTTTATCTTATTGAATATTTGCATTTTAGGTTCCTTGTTCTCAAATTTTCCTTAAATCAGTCACCAAGTATTTTTCCAGTTGGTATCAAGAGATCTGCACTGTGCTAGGTGCCAGGAGGATACAGAAGGAGTATGACACATTCTCAATATTCATGGATCTTCCCTGTCTAGCTGAAGACAGGAGACTAACACATATGTAACAACTAAAGTGTAACCCAAAAGACTGCACAGTTAAGTGCTAAATCGTGTGGTTAAAGGAAGCTTTATCACTACTGGGTTGGCCAGAGGAGGAAGGACCACAGCTAGGCCATAAAAAAGGTATTTAATCTTCCCACTAGATAAGTGGGAATGGATATGTACAAGCAGTTTTCACAATTGCAAACTATCTGTGACCATGAAATATTATTCCAAATCATTAATAATGAAAGAAAAGCCCATTAAAACAACACTGAGGTTTCGCCCCATATGCAAATCAAGCAAGATGACAAAAGATGAAAATATTATTGGAGAGGGTCCAGGATGACAGGCGCATCAATGAATGGGATGTTGTGGTAGAGCTGTGAATTGGTACAACTGTTATATAAAACAATTTGGAAATGTGCAAAACAAGTACCTAACAAGGTAATAATCAATCCAAAAGACTTTATCATGAAGATTAAATCATAGGGTCAGGCCCTGTGCTAGGTAGGGGCTAGGTTAACAAAGACAAATTTAAATTGTTCCTGTCAGCAAGAAGCTCACATTCTATCCCAGGAAATGATACTTACTCATCATAAGTAGTTACAAAATATAAAGTAATTGGGGAAGGGGCTGCTAACAGCTTGGGGAGGGAAGTGTCAGGAAAGGCCCCATTTCCATCATTTTCCACGATAGCACTTGACCTGAGCTTTGTAGAAAGTTAGGGATGTTAACAAGATGGAGGTGAGGAGTGTCTTCCAACCCTGGGGAAACAGTTTGTGAAAATGTATGGAAATAACAGATTGGAATGCCATGTTCTCCAAGCAACACTAAGCCAGTCTGGCCCAAATACAGAATGAAGGAAGGGGACTAATGTGTATGGATTAAGTCCAGAAGGGGAGTCTGAAACCAGGTTGTAAAGGGTTTCAAATGTCCAATAGATGAATCTATATTTGATCCTGGAAGCAATAGAGAACCACTGCAGCTTCCTGAATGACACGGTCAGACCTCTGTCTTAGGAATATCACTTGGGCAGATGAATTGGAGAGAGTAGTGACTGACAGCAAGAAGCTGTTGTTTAGTTGTTTTCAGTCATATCTGACTCTTCGTGACCCCATTTGGGATTTTCTTGGCCAAGATACTAGAGAGGTTTTGCCATTTTGTTCTCCAGCTCATTTTACAGATGAGGAAACTGAGGCAAACAAGATTACAGGCTACTTGCCCAGAGTCACACAGCTAGTAAGTATCTGAGGTTGGATCTGAACTCAGATCTTCCTGACTCCAGACACAGCACTCTATCTTACCTACTGTGACACCTAGCTGTCCCATGAAGGCAAGGAGACCAATTAGGAAATGCACACACCATTGGTTTGGTTTCATTTTTTTTTCTGAGACATAAGAACTATGGGTATGGAATATTCCATATGTTGTCAAACATTTGCTGTGTCAGCTGGTTTCATTTAACTTTTTCTTTGTTAAAAGGAAGGCACGTTGAAGGTCAGAGGGGAGGAAGAGTATATCCAAAAATGATTGTAATATGAAAACAAAAGGAAACAATAAAACTTTCTTTAAGAAGAAGGCATTTAATCTTGTAAATGGACTTTCATGCCTGTCTGTCAATGATTTTTTTCTTACATAAAATTTAACAGGGGAAAAATAAAATCTAGTGAGCCAGTTTGAACTGGTCACAAAATGTATACATTTCAAAACTCACAGTTTCTTTAATCTTGTTCACACAGATAGCTAGCTAACTATAATTAGTTATTTTTGTGCCAGAATAAAATTCAGTTGGGGTAAGTAGAGCAAGTTGGGGGGGGGCACATGGCTCCAGGAGAGGGGTGCAAATGGTGATAGGACTACCAGTGGTAGAAGCCCCAACCTGAGGAAGCATGGGCAGTCCCCTCTAGGGATGCCTGGGGGGGCCATGGAACAGGACTAGAAAAGGACCATGAAGTGTGGAGCTGGGAGGTTGGAGAGCCACCTGGATATCATCATCCAGAAGAAAGGCCATGTTGTTCCAGAGCTAAGGCTCTGATTATGGATGAAAAATTCCTAACCTTAGAGCCAACCTGGTGGTGAGCCTCTCAGATTTATCTAAGTTGATCCTGAAGAAACAGTACAGTACAACTTATCATTGAGCCCATACTTTTCATCTTGGTAAGGACAGCCAGAACATCCACTCTACTGACATGGAAGGGAAGGGAGGAGGGAGGGGTTGGAAGAGAGGAAGGAAAGGGAATAAACATTTTTATATAGCTCCTACTATGTGCCAGCAATGTATGGGGTGTTCAGAAAGGACTAGAACCTAGCATGGGCAAATGAGAACAATTTGTTTCAACAGCCATGAAGGCAGCTGAAGCAGGCTCTATGGAACGCTTAGAGCTTGGTCAGACATTGAAGACACTAAGGTCACCCCCTGCATCCTAGGCTATCATCAGTCATCCTGACTTTTGTCCTGCCCCTGGATTTCATTGACTCAGGAAGAGAGAATGAGGCTGATAATTTTGTACAACTCTGCCTCACTTAAATCCAATTCTCAAGCAAGTGATGACATCACCCAAAATAACATTGATCCTCTTCAAAAATGAAAGATGAACAACTGTTATGTGCCAGGCCCTATGCTAAGCACCTTATACATATTAGCTCATTTGATCCTCACAATTGTGGAACATAGGTGTTATTGTCCCCATTTTACAGTTGGGGAAACCAAGACAAACAGACGTTCAGTGACTTGTCCACAGTCACACAGCTAGGAAGTATCTGAGGCTCGATTTGAACTCCAGTCTTCCTGACTCCAGGCCCAGAACTCTATCCACTGCACACCAAGCTGCCTACAAGAGAGTCCAAGGTTAATTCCATCTCATTATGAGGCATGACCACACTTTATAAATAATGCTAAAGCATAACAAAGTGAAAACACTAAAATAACCTGAAAGTCTCCAAGTCTAGTATCAAAGGAGTTCATATTTTACTGGGTTTGAGTCCTTATACGGAAAGTACACACTCAGAAGGCACAAATTCTTCTGGTACAGAATATGTACTCTTTGATTATAGGCACTGTTAAATAAAAATGGTAGAGTACTACTGAGTTGTGGAGACAGAGGCAACTGC